GCCATGCTCTATGCCGCTGAGTCAAAGGACGTTGAACTGGCAGAGGCGCTGCTGCAGTGGTTTCTGGAGGAGGGCAGAAAGGAGTGCTTTGCTGCCTGTCTGTTTGCGTCCTATGACCTGCTCCGTCCTGACGTGGTGCTGGAGCTCGCGTGGAGACACAATATTATGGACTTCGCAATGCCTTACTTCATCCAGGTCATGAGAGAGTACCTCACCAAGGTTCGTGCCCTCGTTTAACTTTTCAACTGTTTTTAAACAAAACATGGGTAGTATCATGAAGTCTTGTAAGGTTTGTGTAGTATAAAGAATTGTTAACAATTTAAGATATGTCTCAATTATTTTCATAAAATAGGGCTGAAAAAGCCATTTCCATTTTTTAAATAAAAATGATTAAAACAAATCAAAATTGTGGTTGATCAATACAAGGGAATAAAAATCATGATTACTTTTTTAGCCCTCTCTATTTAGATACATTATATTCATTTGTAAATTACTGGAGTAGTAGTAGTAGTCCTAGTTTTGTATTTTATGTAATGACTCTATTTGGACACTAGAGGTCACATCAGGACATGTCTTTGGACTTTTTTGCAGGTTGATGGGTTTGCAGCCAAGGTGATGGTCTCTGGCCTTTTTTATTATTAGTTTTTGTGTTGTGTCTGTTATTGTTATTGATGACTGAAGTTTTTTGTCTAGGAAGCTAGCATGGAAAGTTTACTGCATATGACCCCACTAGCAGTCACCCTATATCTTGCTGTTACAAGTGCACAAGCTTTTGTTTTTATTAAACCTAATTTGTGTATTTTCTTAAAACTGCACTATGTGACTTTTCTGTTTCACTATGTAATTGCTTTGCCTGAAATCTTCCTCAGTATGGGATGATTGTCTGACAATTGTCTGTCTCGCACTTATTCAGTTACAGGTGCATTTATCAATAACTTGGAAAACATGCATTCCTGTGAGTGGAGTCACCTCTAGACAGATCTAATCTCTGGAGCTGCAGTTGTTTCATACTGAGGGACATTTCAGGCAAAGCAATAATATCTCAATGAAGATAACCCTCCACCAGAAAAGTGGCATAGTGCCCCTTTACTCAGATTCTACTAAGTTTGAATATTTCAAGCATTTGTACTCCTGTTTTTCTATCAGTGTTGGAACTAATGACTGCAACAGAAGCTTGTGCACAATTTAACATTATAACTATGTCCTGAAATAACAGTTACCTCTCATAGCTAATGTTCTTTGCAGGGGCTGTGCCTAATAGTTTAACAGCTCTCACCTATTTACACAGTAGCTGTACATTGCAATAACTTAACTAATAGACAATAATGAGTTTTGAAATAAAAAGCTATTTTCTGACAGCACCCAGACTAATAGAAGAAAACTGATGCATCCCTATTCCTAACTATAGTATTAGGCCTGTCACGATAACAAGTTTTGAAGCACATTATATTGCTACAGAGAAAAATAGCAATGAACGATACTATTGAAACTATTTTATGCCACTGATTCAAAAGCAATACAGCAGGATAATCCCAGTAAACCATTTTTAAATATACAGTATCAGTAAAAAGCCTGAGCTGCAGCAAATAAATTACAGATTGAGCCAATAATTGACCACAGAAGTTATTTATTCAACCCTCTACAGCTCAAATCTTAACTAAAAATTACAAAAATCTCCCTGTTATTGCAAAGAAAAAGTGCAGACATTATATATTAAGTATAATGTTCCAGCTCATCCATATTGAATAAGTCGATATAGTAATTATCATGACAGGCCTATATAGAATAACATGTGAGTCTAATGATCTATGGTTATTGTGCGTTGCTTTACATCAACAGTGACACGTCCCATAAATCATATGTTTAAAATGATTCTTAGCTCTTAATTAGTTTAATAATGACACAGGGCAGTAAGATTAATCATTGTTGATTCTGAATTGCAATTTATGCAGTTTATCCAATCACATAGGATGCAAATACCTACATAATGTAATTTGTAAACTAAGAAATGTCCTGTTACTTGATGTCATCTGATATCCTGGAATCTTGATAATATAACTAAAGTGCAAACCTAATCTTAAAGGTGTACTATGTAACATTTGTAATGAAGGGTCTTGTTTTGTCTAGAATGTTCCACAGTATAGATTAAATTTATCTGTCACAAGGGAAACAAGCAGGTTACAGCACTGCACTACATTACTATTCATATCTGTGGAGTCGCCCCTATTTACAGAAGGAATTATTCAATTTTTGCGCAACAGAAACACCTGTGATGAACAAATGTTAGATGGAAATGTTTAGTCACACCATGGAACTTTCCAGACAAAGCAATTACATCTCCATGGAGACAAGCAGGTAACGGACCCAGAAAAGTTGAGCAGTGCACCTTTAATTCTTGTCAGAAAAGTTGCAGTCTTATATTTTTCCAAACTTATTCAGCCATATTGAGTCATTATGTTTGCAATTCATAAGTGTGTCTACTAATGCAAATGATTTATAAGTACAACATAAGCAGAACACATCCATTTTATGAGAAACAATGAGCAAGTACATTTTTGCTCTGCGAGGCTGTTGTAGAGATAAAACTGGATGTTAAACCAATAAGTTCTGACATGTTCTCATTGTTGTTTTTAGGTGGACACACTGGAAGAAGCAGAAAGCCAAAGAAAAACAGAAGATGAAGTGGCAGAACCTCAGTCAATGGTGTTTGGTGGGTTTCTTTTTCGTTTTTATTATTATTCAGAATTAAAAGTTACAACATTTTAAAGATTTTATGATTTCACTAACATGGAAAACAATCTGTTCCACCTTGTGTCGTGCTAATACAGGAAGTGCATCACTGTGTTTTTAATCTTCATACACCTTCACTACAATTATGTGGATAATTTTAGGTCTGGATTCGGCAGTCTCAACTGAACTAAGGTCAAAGGCACCTGTTAACTTTTAAACTACTGCTGCATGACAACACAAGGTGAAATGGAGCATTTTGAGCTTTGGAGATGTAGACAGACTAATAAAGGGTTATTCAAACATGTGTGAATGAAACAAGGTAGGTTTGTTTTTGATGAGGTAACAACAACATGGCTTCAAGTTGACAAGAAACTATTTTCTGTAATATAGGACCTTTGACTAACACAAACCATAAATTAACAAATAAATAAAGACTAGGCCATTGAAACCCAAAGTCATTTTAAATACCATGCTGGTATCATTCATGACTTATAGATATGCTAATTATACACCTCAATTATTCAAAAGACACCACTATAGTGCATATAAGCAAAAGTACTTGGTGAGTAAATGGTGAACCCCAAATTATAATTAAGTCTTAGTAATTACTGTATTCTGTATCAAGTCTAAAGATTAATGACACCTTTTCACTAAAGAAAACTGAAGTATTGTGTATCTTTGTTCAGGTCAGCAGCTCATGTTGACTGGTGGTCCCGCTGCTGCTGCTGCTGCTGCTGCTGCTGCTGTAACTCCACCCCAGGCTTACCCAGGTTACACATATGCGCCCCCTGCTGGTTACCCTCCACAGCCTGGATATGGTTTCAACATGCAGTAGTTACACACCAAAACTGCTTTTAAAAATGCAAGCACTGAACCATCCTCCTAAAGTTCATCCTCAACCAGTTGTGAAAAACGCACACATCTGGAACACCTTTTATTTTTTAACTATCCACCTTCAAACCTGCAAGAGAAAACCATCTACAACATGAACTTGATTATGGTTACTCTGATTTTTGAACTGGTATCTACTACTACTTCTGCTACACTGTAAAGACCCGTTCAGACCACTCTGCTCTCTTGCTGTCTCATCGTGAAAACTCAGCACTGATAATGAAGAGAACGTTACTGACAGGTTAAGGGCACTGTGTTTTGTTACAGCCTTCTAAGTGATAGGAAAAGTATATTTGAAAATCATTTTGTGACCACCTCATGCTTTCTAACCATTAATGTGTGCAATATTATGTTACTTTACAGGTACATGTTTTGTTTTTAATTGTTGAACACTTACATTTGTTTTTAGGTACTGTTTTGCTTGTGATAAATTGTCAACGTGTGCGCAAACCTCAACCTTAAGCCTTTATGGGACTAGCATAGATCCCACTTCTTTACTGACAGCTCAGAGAATATCTTACTCTTGTTGAAATGCAGGGTGATAGAAGGAATCAAGGGAAAAAATGAAAATATTTTTATGCTCTAGTTTTGCATGTGCTGTCGATCTGATTAATTATGTAACCACCAGTAGCACAATTTTTATTTTATAACCATGTTTACCATTTTGTGCGATGGCCTATGTGAAAATATATTGAATAATGCGCAAGTGTATTCATAAGTTATCATATTCATTCTACTGGTACAATGTTAATCATTATTGTACTAAACACAATGTATAATTTCATTTGAACACATCCAACTAATAAATCCAACTCAAATGTAGCCTATTGTCTCTTCTACATCAGTGAAAGTATCACATTTGTTTTGTATTTATGCTCACAAAATATGGAAAAGTCTTCATCCATAATATTGAGGCCTAAAGGTAGCTCGCATAAGTTGTTTATTTAGCAATATATGGTTATACAAAAGCAGACATGTATTTTAGAATGTCATTTCCTTCATAAACAGGACCTTAAAAGAGGTTGTGTTGGTTACAAATGTGAGATGTACTGTTGCGACAGCATTTCTGAAATCCCAGTTATTGCCATCCTTGACTCGACTGACATTTAGTGAGCACGTCTTTGCCAAACCTGATTGATGGACTCTTTCTCGGTGAGAGCAGAAGCAGTGGTTTGTTGGGGGTTGGTTGGTCGCAGACTAATGCTGTCCGCGGATGGACTAACACGAGGAGAGGGGGTCACAGTATTTACTTAATGCACACCGTTAGAGTACATTCATAATAGCGACAGAAAGTGCACACCCTCCATCCACCCATCTAAATGTTTGTGCAACGTGTCCAGTTTGCACACTTTTATAGCTCATAGCTCTCAGACCACACCTTCGCAAACAGCAGCGTTTCTGGTTTGAGTTTACCCGCTTAAAGCGAACGGACTTCCAGACGGGACTGACAATTCATTTCTTACCCAAGTCACGTTTCCGCTTTGCTTTTACGCACAAGTGTCGTGATACAGCGTTGTTATAGAGACACATAAGAAATATTAGACATCGAGGAGCCCAACTTCCTCGTCTCTTGCGAGAGTCCGCCCACTGTCAACAACAGGACCAGGATATGCCCAGTGTGTGAGATCAACGCATCCAGCGGAGCGCAACCACAGCGCGCGTGTGTTGCGCTCTCCTCTCACCAGGAAACTTTGATAACATTCATATCAAGTAGGAAAAAGCAAATAGTTTGAGTTTTTCTTCAAAGATGGACAAAGAAGGACGAGCTTTCATGAGTCCCTTCCACAGACCGCGCTGCCTGGCAGCGGCTGCTCCTGCGGGGAAAGCCAAGTTGACGCACCCGGGCAAGGCGATTCTAGCTGGTGAGTTCACTATGTTCTTAAAGAACTTAATGTAACTTTTTGTTTTAACTACGAATAATAATTTTTAACAGTTTGGGACTTTAAACTAAAATCAAATTTGAGGTTTTGGCACAAAATCATGTTCATTTTATGTGAAGCCTCACACTTAACAGCCCAGTCATCCTATGACAGATATAGAGTATATCCACATCTTATAGAATTACTGATGAATTAGCTGCTGGTTGGTTTATTGATCCATTCAGTGGAACAGGATTAAACAGTACAAACAATAATAGCTTAGTCATAACAACAAAAAGAACTGAATAACATAATGCCTATGCCTTTTATTGACTTTGGAGCCAGATTACACTGTCAGTGTGGTTTTAGCCGCTGCTTTGACTGTAGCACAGTCTGGAGAGCCCCTCCTGTCTGTCTGTGGATCAGGACACTTCATGTGGTCTAGTGATTATGGTGCACGTCTCCTGGTGCAGCTCCTGTGTAAAAGGCTCACGCTGGCAGCTGGCAGCACTGATTTCTGCTCCTATGTGTTTTGGCAACACTTTCACACTAAATATTTCATTGTTCCATATAAATTCTGTTTGATTGAAATCTGAAAATAAACAGTGAATATTAAGTTACTCTTGTCATCGAGGGGTGTAGCAGGAAATTCTGGACTCTCAGTGCAAACTATGTTGGTAGTCCCACACTGTGTGACATCTGTGTTAAATCTACATGATTTTGCTGATTTTTAGAGAACCATTTTTTTTTTTTTTTTTTTGCAAAGAACCCTGCAAACAAGTACCCTTTATCCCCCGATATAATGTCCCCGCCTGTTATAACAATACAGGCCTGTTATAACAATACTGTCTACTTCTTATTAACAGATGCGGCAACTGAAATGTGGTTGTTACAGATAGTCTTCCCTTTCATTCCTGCGCCTGATTGACTGGTTTTGCCCCATGTTGCACAGCTCAGTTTGTCCTGTGTTTTTGATTGGTGCTGCGGCCTGTCTGTCCAGTTTGGCAACAATATCACATCATGTTTCTTACTCTGCTGCTCTGGCCTTGCTGCTACATAGTACAGAGTTCTTAAAAAGCATTTGTTTTAAATAGCAGGACAGTAATATATTATTGGCATTGCGACAGTGACAGGTGAAGTGGGAAACAGTTGGCCTGCTCAATTATGGAAAATTACCACAATTATTTTGGATGTAATTTTACTAATACAAGAAAAGCTTAACTTGTAGATGATGAATCTTTTTAACTTTATTAACAGAGAACATTGGTGAATATGGGGGAGTGATGGGTGAGTCAACTGATCCAGCAACTATAAGACGTCAATGCTGGTAATAACGGCACTTGATTAGGTGTCAGAATCCAGTGTGTATCAAGGTATCAAGGCGTGTTTGCTCTTGGGGATGAGTGTTGACAAGCTATTATAAAACATATGCTGCAATATTAGGCTGGTGGTCATAATGTTATGCTGGATTCCTACAATCTATGGTCACACTCATCAAGGTGGACTCAGACACTGATGATGTCATGGAGCCATCTCTCACAACATACATCAAAAGTCTTAATGGCTTACTGTAGCTCCTCATATGCTCTACTGTTCAACACACTGTTGATGTTGTTCTTATGATGTCATGAAGCTGTAGTTTTCAAAAGAAGTGTGTTCAAAAATATCAAAATATTGATATATCATATCGTTTAATGTAATGATACAGTATCGATATCATGGGCTGCTGTATTGATATATTGCCAAGAGTATTGTTTGGTAATGCAAATTTTACTAAATTATTTTTGTATGGTGCCACAGTTTTGCTGCTTGTTTAGAGGAAGGAAAGTAGTTTATGCAGTACATTTGAAATATTCAGTGATAATTAAAATAGTTGTGTTTCATATTCACTTTGCACAGGAAGTGGTTCAGCAAAGACTTTAAGTATCACAGCCTTGATTTAGCCCTTTTTTATTTGAACCCTATTGAACTGATTTGAAATATATATCATATCGACTCAAAAGTGCACTGTATCGAAGTATGTATCGTATCGTAGTGATACCCAGCCCTAGTTTTCAAATTAACAGCTACCTTTTAACTTTTGTTTAGTAGAGATTGGCAATTCGGGTGAAATTATCCAGGTGATTCTAATGAAGGTGTATGGAGTTTAAAAACACACTAGAGCACTTCCTGTATTACAACATGACATCAGAACGTGGAACAGAGTGTTTTCTGTTTGAGAAAAGAACACAGAAGATTGTGTTTTATTGCAAAAGAAATGCATTCATTCAGTACATGCATTCTTACTGTGACAGATCTGTACCTTGTTTAGTGGCGTCACCTGCTTGTCTCTTTGGAGATAGACAAGTTTAATACCATACTGTGAAACATTCTAGGACAGCAAGCAAATGGTGGATCCTCCTCCAGAAAAGTTATATGGTGCATCCTTAAGTTTTACACTTACTGTCCACACAGATGAATTCTGATCTGGTTGTGTTGTTTTATAATCCATTCATATCATCACAGTCAAGATCCAAGCAGAAAACCTCAATTTAAAATGTAAATTGTTCAAAGTATTTTATTGCATCCCTCCCTGTCCTTTCCCTCTCTAATTACAGGATATGTAGTGGTAATTTACTGCTATAACTGATCTTGTATATATGTGTTGCTAACTGACCTGTATTGCACTGAGGCAAGAGGTAGACAAAGCAGAAGTAGAAGGTCGTGGTAAGAGAGGAGTTTTGAGTGCTGTATGGTCTTCCACTGGTCTCTCTCTCTCTGTCTCTCTTTCTTGCTCTGGAGTCTAAACTGTGTCATGCTCAAAGCGACCTGAGGGCACAAACCTGAATGAACTACACACCTGATTTAATATCTTTGCAATATCTTTTTTTAAACAGTTCAGTTGGTGTGTTATTGATGGCATGTGTTTTCTCATAAAAAATAATACTTCTAGGTGCTAAGACCATTTCCAACTGTGTTTTGATTTGCATATTTCTGCAAATTAGAATTCTCAGTGCTGCAAAGTTTGCTACAATTTCTGGAATTGTCAATCTGTACTGAACCAGGTGAAGTGTAGTTGTTAACTTGAAAACTACCGCTTCATGACATTACAAGGTAGAACAGAGCATTTGGAGCTTTGGAGATGTAGACAGACTAATAATAAAGATTACTCAAACATGTGTGAATGAAAGAGAACACAACTCCAGGTATGTTTTTGAGGAGGTAACAGCATTATAACATGATATAAAGTTAGCAGGAGCCAATTTTGTGCAATATAGGACCTTAAGAGTTGTAAATGTTTTAATCTGATTTAAGTTGCTGTGTACTCTTAGAGGGTCTTTCACTGCTCACACAGCCCACTCCTCTGTGCTCCTGGGGGCAGGCTCTCAGACGACCAGACCACATCATAAATCACACCACTCCCCTCTCTCTCAATCTCTCTCTCTCCCTCTCTCTCTCTTTCTCCCTCTCTTTTGTACAAACCAGACCAGCAGCCTTTTCTCCATCTATTCAGGCATCATTTGAAATCATTCAAGTAGTATCATAATAAAGCAATGTTTGAACCTCTAATCAGAAAAGATTAGTTCTTCTTAAAGGTGCATTGCTCAACTTTTCTGGTTCGCTACCTACTTGTCTCCATGGAGATGTTATTTCTTTGCCTTGAATTTTTATTGGTATGATGTTAAACTCACATTTATTCATTACGAGTGTTTGTATTTCTCAAAAATACCATAATTCTTTCTGTGAATAGGGACAAATCTCCACAGATCTGAATTGTAATGTAGTGTAGTGTTGTTACCTGCTTGTCTTCCTTGTGATAGGTTTAATCTGTACTGAGGAACATTCTAGGCAAAGCAATAATATTTCCATGGAGACAATCAGGGAGCATTAGCCAGGCTGGCGCCACCTAGTGCCTCAACTCAATTAAATTTCTTTCCAGCGACTAGGTCAGGAATCAGAATACACTAGATGGTTCGCAAAAACCCTGGAATTGCAAGTTCAGGCACCAGTCACTCAGCGAAGAGCCATTCATTCTGTGTTGGCAATGATTCCCAAGATTGAGGATTTAAAGCCGGAACAAAGAGAATGTTCAAGTGAATTTTATCACGAGGAAAGAAGCGTAATATACCAGTTAGCCCCTTTAGCGATAACATACGTCACACCCGATTGGTTAAATGAAAAAAGTACCTGCCTACTGTTGAGCGAATGAATTCTAACACTGCGGTTAAAAGGTTTCTAAGAAGTTAAACCGGCTGATGAATCAGGCTAAGGTGGCATACCCTCCACTAGAAATGTTACATAGATCACTTTTAATGTAAAAGAATAACTTTTAGGTATAAACCAAAAGAAAACATTAATGGTGTATTCATTGCAAATCCTTACGTATTTGATTTGCATATCACACCTCATCTCACACCCATAGTTGCCACTTGCTCCGTAATTGTCTCTAAGTTGCAACATCCAGAATTTAGTCTGTGGGTTCAGTCCTGGTGAAACTACTATTTGTCAACACTAACAAACCTGTTCACACAAATGTCTATGCTGTAGGCTTTTTCCAGTTCCCATGTAAAATTCATAAACTTGTAATTAAGATCCTGTTAATTAGAGTGTTGTCGAGGACAGGGGAAGTCCAAAGGATGAATGGTGTACATTAATTATTCCTTTTATCTTTTGCATAAAGAAAATTATTTATCAGTCAAATTATGGATGCATTAATGATGTTTCTTATTTAACTCTCATGTTATAGATGTTATTGTCCCAACGCAATAGTCTAATAATTCGATATAGGGCTGTGAAATTATTCAAATTTTAATTTAAATTCAGATTCAGTAATTATGTCCACAGCCAGTCCTCAGTCAGTGAAAACATGTAGTTTATTTATTTATTTATTTGATAGGGACAAATATGTACATTAGATGTTTATACTACAACATTTATAGCCAAGGCTAATTCTCAATGTCCATCCCTAGAAGGGCTTTTACAGAAACACATACACACACATAAAAAAAAAACAAAAAACCAAA